CAGCCTTGAAGCACCGCAGTACATCCAGCTTTACCTGCAGGCTAACGGCCTCGCAGTCTCACTTGGTACCTCCACACTGGACAGTGCTCTGCAGCCTCTTTGGGCTGAGACTGGGTGCAGGGCAGTTCTGACCAAGCCAAACTGATCTTTCTTGATGTCATGGAGGAATATTTGGGTTCCCACCATGAGCCTGCTGTCAATGCCACCGGCATCTGTAAAATTACAAGACATTTACTGGTATGAACGGCCCAGGAGCTTGAATAAAACCTGAGAGACCCTTAACAAGTCTCCCTTTAAGTAGGAGGTGCCAGGCTACATGGGGCCATAGTTCACTTCCTGCTGGATGAATTCTAGCCCCATGACCCTCAAGAACACATAGGGGTTCCCAGGTGTGGCTGTGTCTCAGGAAGCCCCAGGATAAGGGCAGCAGGGGTGACCCACCTCCCACTTCAGCAGGCAGGAGACCCAGGCCACATCCTTGGCTGACCTACCCTACTCACCATGTGTGCTCCTGGGGAAGTCTCTGAGTTTCCCAACAAGACCACACACACAGGTGCCCCATGACACAGACAAAGTTTGGTCCCCATTTCATGGGTAGAGCCATCCTGGGGAAGCTGTATGCATCAAAGTCCCAAGAGACCCCTGCCTGCAGGAAACCCTGCTGGGAAGGAGGAGATCTCTACTGTGACCCAAAGGAACCATCCCACTGGGCTATGGTGAGGACTAGAGGGGAAACAGACTTCCCACTGCTCAGTACAAGGGCAGAGGCAGCAGGGACACCAGAAGCTGGAGACTGCAGGTACTGTCAAGCACAGAAAGGCCCTGGACTAGGACAGGGCCCTATTCTGTGGAGTAAAAAGGGCTCGTGGCCCACATGCCACCACGGGCCAGGAAATTGCTCTGCAGAGCTGCTGAGGAGACTGTGGACTGTGGGCCCTAGCACTAGAAGAGAAGGCCATGGAGTGCAGATAATTTGTGGGCTTTCCTGGGAGATGTCTGCATGGCTGTTTACTCATGTGTGTATGTTCTGCACATGTACAGAGGCCAGGAAGAAGGACACACCCAGTTAGCACTGGCATTGCCAGAGGGGCAAGCAGGTAGATCCTTAAACTTTATATACCTTGGTTAAGGTTTTAATTACTTTACAATGCAAAATGGGAGGACAAACCTGGAACAAAATTAATGAAAAAATACTCACTTTTCTAAAGTGAGCTGGGGAAAGAGAAGCCCATTGGAGTCAGGCAAGGCTGCACTTAGCCCAAGAGAAGCAAAGTGAAGACCAAGGCAGCATGAACATGGATGCAGCTATGTCCACCTATGTGTCCTCTGGGCACACATGATGAAATGTTGTATTGTGATCTGGGTGCCAGCAATAAAAACCTGAACTTCATGGCAACCAGAATAAGTTGAGACTAGCAATCCTGGCTGAGCTCCCTCCTCTTTGGATTGGATTTTGGCTCTGAAGTGCCGATACCTGGGGATAAGCTCCTAATCCTCTAGTCATGCAATGTGAGCCTGGGGCAAGCAGAAAAGATTGCAAGGCAGGCTGCTGGGCCGAGCCTGGGGTCAGGGCAGTTGGGCACTGCTGCGCCACAGCACAAGGGTGAGGAAAGTCTGGAGCAGCAGGATGTGGCATACTGACTTAGCAGGATTCAGTTCACCCAAGCTCCATCTCTGACAGGCTTGTTTGGCTTTGCCATGTCTCCAGACTTCTGGACCTTGGGAGGGGCCTGGACTAGCCCTAAGTAAGAGGGCCATGTTAGTGTCTGTACTGGGACGACCCGCGGAGACAACTACCAGGGACTCGGATCAAGACTTAGGAGCCTTTATTAAGCTGGCCAGCAACCACAGTTACAGCACCCTGCTGAAGCAAAGGCTTAACTGTAGTGCTGACTACAGGAGTTACAGCGTTTTTATTTGCAAAAACCACAAAGTTAGTTACAAAGGCTTGCTTGCACAATTTGTTCCCGACACAGTACAGCATCAGTACAGTGACTACCTTCCTATCTATGTGTTCTGGGAACAGAGAGCACCATGTGCCCCACCTGGCTGAAGCACCAGCACATTCCTATCTATGTGTTTTAGGAACAGAGAGCACAGCGTGCCCTGCCTGGCTGAAGTGCCAGATATGCAACCCAGTATAGTGTCCTGAGCCCACCCGGAGGACATTGGGGCTGGGCACCCAGGTCTAATAATCAATCAGTAGTGAAGGGTCAAGTACTGTTTGCACCAACCTGGGCTGTGCAAGACATGCCCCTGCCTACCCTCTGGGCCACACACACATATGTACCTCAGCAGTAAACCCTAGGCCCTGTAACCCAAGTGCCAGAGCCTGCAAGAGTACTGCTCAGCACAGCTGTTCTGAGTTTCTCTGAGTCCATATATTCTAAATTCTTCCCAACTATTTCAGGGAAGGTTCCTTCTCAAACTCTGCCCATGGTACTAACTGTTGGGAACTTAGTCCAAGTTCCTCCTTTATCCTCTGCTCACTACTTACCAGGTGTTAGGTCCAAGCCCTTCTGCCTAGGGCTGGACATTCTTGGATGCCTATTCTTAACAGAGAACCCATGAGAGGTTGTGGGTATATAAGAGTGAGTCTTTATTGCAAAAACTAGCAGCCACATAGCCATCAGACAAGACAGTCCTACACAACAATCCCATATAGCCAGCCCTGCACTGGCTGGTAAATACATATCTTTTCTACAAAGCAGTGTTTATCTCTGTACCCACAGTTATTATCTGAGCAGCCTCATGCTGCCCCCTAGACTCACTACCTCACTTCATTGCAATACTTAAACTCTATGCCTGAGCAGCTTCTCTAGCCTCTCTGGCTCAGTAGCTTCATCTGTATTCCCTGCCCAGCATACTGGCTGGTTAACATGGTAGCTGTACCTGAGCTATGAGCCCTTAGCCTTACATTGTAGCGGTTCCAGCTCTCAGCTCTGTCTGAGCTCTCACCTCTTTCCCCTCTAGCTCACTGGCTGGTCAATAACATGCATTTTACTATTTAGACAAAAGAGGCCTTTAGCCAACAATGACATCAGTCATTTGGCTCTAGAAGGGCACAGTGTACATACAGTGAGATCGTCGTGGCCTTGCAGCAGCTGTGTATGGTATCTTAGCCTGGGGGCAGAGTGGCATTAAACAGTCCAGTGTATTGATAACAAGGCCTCTGTGCTTTAATTGGACTTAAACATGGGGCTTGATTCCCACAACAAGCCACTGAAACAACAAGGGAAGTCATTAGATGCTTCCTTCCACCACCTCTGTGTGCATAGTAAAAGGGCCCACTTGAGTGGGCCTGAGGGGTCCAGTCCCCACCTTTGTTTTCAAGGGCCAAACAAAGGTCTGGCCCTTGACCTCCTGTGGCAGGTCACCTTTAAGCCCTTGGAATATTCTACCTATTTACCTAAGGCCTTGGACCACACCAGATAGTTGATGCTAACCATGTTACTGTGGCCGTGACCTCAGGACACACTGTATTAGGTTGACCTCTGGGGGAGCTGAGACTGAGCCACTAAAGTCAGTCATGCTCTATGCCTATCTGAGAGGCCACCATAAAAACCCTGGACAACAGCTTGGGCAAGGCTCCTTGGTTGATAATCTCTTGTGTGTTGTCATACTCCACTGCTGGGACATCAGTGTCTCAAGAAGGGATGCCTGCACACTTGTGCCTGACATCTCCAAGACTGTACACTTATTCTGTTGCAAACTTTAATCTGTCTCCTTTCACTCACTAAGATGTCACCATGAGTGTAACAGGCTTGCTGAATTCTGTGGCTTCTCTAGTGAAGCAGTGGGAACCCTGAACATGCTGGGGCAGCCAAGGAAGAACATGGAACTCTGCCCCTGGACCCGACAGCATCAGAACACCTGTCTTCAAGACTACTTTGAGGAGGTCAGGGCCCATGTGGGGACTGAGACCATGTAAGGGAAGGGACAACCACAAGAGTTGTCAGGCAAATGGGAACTGAACTTGAGACTATGTCCCTTCAAGACTGAGTGAACATAACGACACTGGCCCCACAGGATCACATGAGTGCCAAGCTTGAGTCCCTTCAGTGACCAGAAAGTGGCTGGCCCCACATCCACACAGGTATGATGCAAAGTCTATTACAGTGTCACCTAAGCATCCTCTCAGTGGGAAGCTGGGCACTGGAACCAAGGACAGACCTTGGAGGAAAAGGCAAACACTGGCTGTTGCTCAGGAGTTGGCAATACAGGACACTGGCAGCAGGTTAGAAAATAGCCGAGCACTACAGCCAAATACCCACAGGGCCCACAGACAGGCATCCTCAGCCCCACCTGCACCTCACAGTCATCCCTAGAAAACCAGAGTGTCAGGGCTTTCCTGAGCAGGAGCTGAATAGAGTTTATGGCTTTTCCTACATGGCCAGAACTGGCTTAATCAGGGCCCCAGGGAGACCGCAACACCTTCCAGCAGAGGCCCCTACCCAGGTACCTGGGTTACAGCTCCTCCTTTGAGTTTCTGTTGTCATCATTCTAACCTCGTCCCATTGTTCCCACACCTCTGGTAGTGAGCACTGTTACCTGAATTTTCTACTCCCAGGACTCATAAGGGTTCTGTTCGTTTTGCACCTAGGTTCAATTACTTACATTAAATTCCCTGTTGAAACAGGTGGTGTGTCACTTCTGCAAAAGGTCAGACTTACTATATGACCTCACAATTCCACCATACCAAGTACATAACCAAGAGCAATGGAAACGTTTTTCCACATGAAATCATGTACTTATATGTTCACAGCATCATTGTTCAAAATAGCGAATAATATTCTCCAAAACATCCAACAATGAACAGAATGTCGTATAGCCACACAATGGAATGGTATTTTGTGCACTAGAGGCCCAGTGCACAAAATATGTGCATGAGGGTCTGGGGGGGATCCTTCAGCCTGGCATGCACCCTCTCCAATCTGGAACCCCTCAGGGGATGTCTGACTATTGGTCCTAAAGCGGCAATCAGGCATCCCTCTAGCAAGCCGGAACTGCTGGCTCCTAACTACTCACCTGCCTGCCTGCCTGATTGCCCTTAATCACTCTGCCTGCCTGCCTGATGACCCTAACTGCTCCCCTGTTGTCCTTATTGCCTCTAACCACTCTGCCCTGATGGCCTGATCATTGCTAACCACCTCTGCCTGCCTCCTTGATGCCCCTACCTGCTCCCCTGCTGGCCAGATCACCACTAACCACCTCTGCCTCAGCCCTCACCCTCCCCACCATGGCTTTGTCCAGAAGGTCATCTGGAAGGCCGCCTAGAAGATGTCTGGTCCATCTGGTCTAATTAGAATATTACCCTTTTATAGTATAGACTAGAGGCCTGGTGCACAAAAATTTGTGCACTCAGGGTGGGGGCCGGGGGAGTGGGGTCCCTCAGCCCGGCCTGTGCCCTCTTGCAGTCCGGGAACCCTTGGGAGATAATGACCTGCTGGCTTAGGCCTGCACCTGGGTGGCAGAGGGCAGGCCCAATCCCTAGGTGCAGCCCCTGGTCGGGCTCAAAGCAGGGCTGATTGGAGAGTTGGGGCACTGCCCGCCTATCATGCAGAGAGCAGAGCCGATCGGGAGGTTGTGACGCCGCCCCCTGTCACACTCAAGGCAGGGTCGATGGGGAGTTTGCAGTGCCAACACCTTTCATGCACAGAGCAGGGCCAATCAGGGGTTTTGGGGTCCATACACTGTCACACACAGAGCAGGGTCGATCAGGGGGTTGAGGAGTTCCCCCCTGTCATGCACAGAGCAGGGTCCATCAGGGGGTTGGGGAGATGCTTCCTGTCACTCACAGGGTAGGGTCGATAAGGGAGTTGGGGTACCGCCCCCGTCACACACAGAGCAGGGCAGGGCAGGGGGTTGGGGCACCATACCCTGTCACACTCAGGGCAGGGCCAAAGGGGAGGTTATGGCTCTACCCCGTCACACACAGAGCAGAGCCCATGGGGGGCGGTTTGGGCGCTGGCCCCTGTCACTCTGATCCTGGTGCCGGGAGGCCTTGTGGCTCCGCTGAACCCGGTACTGGGAGGCATATTACCCTTTTACTATATAGGATAGAGGCCTGGTGCATGGGTGGGGCTGGCTGGTTTG